CTTTGTTCAGAAAATGTCTTAACCGAGTTTTTAACTAAATATGGCAATGTATCGTTGAACTCGTTCTCCAACTTTGGAGTTTAAGGTTATAATATAAATCGGTTTGCTCAACAAAAATTATTATGCCATACAATGTGTATGAGTAAGATAGGACTTTCAACTGACAAAATAATTTAACTACTTTACAAAAATCAAGATGTAATTTGACTATAGCTAGTCAAACTAGATACATTCATATAATACAAATTTATCTACTATATATTAAGGAATAATATATTCTGTAATTTCAGGAATGTTTATATATAAACATAGAGATTAAACCAGAAAATACATATCTTAATTTTGACGAAGATAAAAGAGTATGAATCTAATTCCCATTCTTTTCCCATGTCTACTTCTCTTTACGTCGGTGGCCGGAGAAATTCTCGGGCCAGGATTCTACGGCAACACATGTCCTACTTCTCATGTCCTACTTCCCATTCTTTTCCCATACCTACATCTCTTTAAGTCGGTGGCCGGAGAAATTCTCCGGCCAGGATTCTACGGCAACACATGTCCTAAAGCCGAAATTATCGTGAGAGAAGAGATGAGAAAAGCTATGCTGAAAGAAGCTCGAAGTGTTGCCTCCGTTATGCGTTTTCAGTTTCATGATTGCTTTGTTAATGTAAATCATTAATAACCACATTTCGGTAGATAAGTTTCTGAAGAAAAAAAATCTTTAGAATCCTATAACCTAATATATTGTTTTATTACCTTTGTTTAAATTTTTGTAGGGATGTGATGGTTCTGTATTGCTCGATGACACACCAACAATGTTGGGAGAAAAACTCTCACTTTCAAACATAGGCTCTTTAAGATCGTTTGATGTAATAGACAACGTTAAAGCCGCATTAGAAAAGGCTTGTCCTGCCACTGTTTCTTGTGCTGATATTATCATCATAGCTTCTCGTGACGCGGTTGCGCTAGTAAGTTGCTCTCTCTCTCTCGATCTCTTCCCTAAGCCGTAAAATATGTTGCGGTAGACCAAATTTTTTATGGGCCTAATTAAATTTTAAAGCAATTATGTGTAGTCTGGTTTAATCAAATTGCTTTAAACCTTAGTCCCGTAAAACTTGAATATACAAAAAATGATATCATTCTAACCTTATTACAATTCAATTAGGTTCATAAATCATTTTTTTTCTTATTGATTAATCTGCATTAAACACTTTCCAAACCGTAAATTAGTGTGATTTTTACTTGGATTTTTAACGATTAATTTTTGGTTTTGGTTGGTTTTAATCTTTGATACTAGACAGGAGGACCGGATTGGGAAGTAAAGTTAGGGAGAAAAGACAGCTTAACCGCAAGTCAAAAGGATTCAGACGACATAATGCCAAGTCCAAACGGATCAAACGCAACAACCTTAATTGATCTCTTCCAAAGATTCAATCTTACTACAAAAGACATGGTTGCTCTATCTGGATCACACTCTATCGGTGAAGCTCGATGTTTCTCGATCATGACTAGACTCTATAACTATTCCGGTTCAGGAAAATTCGATCCGGCTTTCGATCCAATTTACCGAGGGAAATTGACCAAATTGTGTCCCATGGGAGGTGATGAAAACGTTACAAGCAGTATGGATGCAACGGCTAAAGTGTTTGATAATCAATATTTCAAAGACTTGGTTTCTAGGAGAGGGTATCTAAACTCGGATCAAACATTATTTACATCGCCGGAGACGAGAGAGTATGTTAAAATGTTTAGTGAGAACGAAACAAAGTTTTTCAAGGCATTTGCGGAAGGAATGGTGAAGATGGGTGACTTGCAATCTACGAAACCTGGAGAGATTAGGTTAAATTGTAGAGTCGTTAATCGAAAGAACTCTTGATCGATAGTGTATTAAACAAAATGATCATCTTAATTATTATATAAAGTTTCAAATAATGTGTGTTGGTTATTTTAAAAAATAAAGTCGTATTAAATAAATAAATTAGTTTGGTTAATCCATATTACAAAACTTGTTGTAAAACCAAATTGAACCGGTATTGTAAGTTACATAATCTACAAGATTGTAAACCCTAGAAGTTACACGAGAAGAGGAAGCGATGGGAAGCAAAGAGGGTTGGGTTGTGGAATTCTTATTGAGGTTGACAAACGTGACTCGCTTCCATATCATGGCTAAGCCGAAAGCTTCTACTGCTGCTTTTTTCACTGGATTTGCGTATGGCGACTATAGGGAAGGGAGTATCAAGGATTTGATGACCCAAGAAAATGTCGAGCGATTAACCAGAGACTACGAGACAAGGCGTGAGCTTTATCCCTTAAATTCGTGGTTTTGGATTACTAGTTTTATTCGTTTAGCTAGAGTATAACGGAATTTATATTGGAAAGGCTTTCTTTATGTTGCAAAGTCAGATTTTTTGGAGACGGAAAACGGAGTTTGTTTGAAATGAGGAATGAAGATAAAACACTTGAAAAGTAGGTGAAGGTCTCCACTCATTTAAATGCCTCACGAGGCTTGGAAAGTAGTTTGGAGATAATTTCCATTGTCCGAGCCTCTAGTAATGCTTCTTTCTTGTCCAAAAGTTGGTTCTTTCCTTCAAGGCCTAAAACATGAGTTGAAACATCCATTTAAGTATCCGTTTCCAACACAATAAATAAATACCTAGTTTGTATCCAATGTACACAAGTAACGTTTTGTAAGCAACTGTCTCGACGCCATATAAAATTATACTTGGCCATCCCCAACCAAAGTCCTCCACGGTTTCGACTTTACGGGAAAAACAAAATGAGAAGAATTAAGCAATTCACTTTTCTTTTTTTTTTGTATGAAAAGAAACCAATTAACTTAAGGGAAGAAAAATCGAGGAAAGGAGGATCTACCTCTATTTTGGTTACTTGAGGAGGAGCAATGTCGAGATCCAGGTTTCCGACAATACTGCAAATGTTGTTTTGTAACTATGAATCAACAATATTAATTATACGTGAGGAAAAAAATTCAGATCAACAAATCGGTTTGGTTAGGGATACCTTAGCAAATATGGATCCACCCCGCATCATTGCCGCTCTAGGAATTAGGGTTCTTACTTTCGTTTAGTCAAGCTTAAATCATGTCATCGTATAATGTAATTCGGTTTTGTAAATTTGGTTTTCTTTTGTATCGGTTTTATAAAATATAAAATCATATTAAAATCCGGTTCGGTTTCAGGGTTTTTGTTCCTCATTAATTATTCCATGATTTTTTGATTTTTTTTTTTTGCTAATTAAATATTAAAATTTCATTAAAAAAATGAGAAGGTTTGTAACATATTTTTTGGTCAAACAGGTTTGTAACATATTACAAAAGGTTAAAACAAGTAATCTTTGCCAAAAATGAATTTAAAAAACAAGGAGAATTCGACTGCTCGCCACAAGATATTCTTGAGTTGGCCAGCCGGAAGGCTGCGGCCTGGTTGTTAGCTAATGCCCCAATGGATGATGAAACAACGGGACAACCTCTGCCCACTACCCAGATACTGACCTCGGCCACGTTCGCATGTTTTCTCGACGGATCGTGGAAAGAAGAGAAACCCACGAGTGGGATTGGATGGATCTTACAGTTACAAGATGGGGAGATTGACATCATAGGATTACGTGGTATACGCCGGAGTCTCTCCCCTCTACACACAGAGCTCCTTAGCTTACTATGGACAATGGCAAGCTTGCGGAGGAGGAAGATATACTATGCACTTTTCGTAATAGACTCAGAGGAGTTGACTACCATGGTGATGAATCCGGAGAAGTAGCCGCATTTTTAGACGGAACTGGAGGAGTTGAAGGCACTACGGACGTCTTTCCCAGACTTCACCATACAATATATATTATCCAAGGGCGACGAATGCGCGGGTAGATCTGCTGGCCCGGCATGCCCGACAAAAGAATTTACTTTTTTCGTATATTAACACTTCGATCCCTCACTGGTTCTCAGATACTAATGTATTTGGATAAGTATATTAGCAGTTGCTAACCGTTTGATGGGTATTGAACATATTAGTATAAAACTACTCTTCAATGCCAAGAAAAAACCTCTTGTGTATGTCGAAAACCCTGATAAAATTTTGTATTGGATGATTGTTCGGTTTTTTTGGATCCTAAGCTTTATTGTCTACATAGGATTTGATGCTGGATGGGTTAAGTCTCACGCCAAGGAGATTTGGGCGTATATCACCGAAACTGTTAGCACAAAAGTGTACAAAACAAATGTTAAGAATGATTATGTGACTAGGATAACAAATGTTAAGAAG